CGCGATAGCAACAAATTGGAAGATCACGCACAGAATGGCAAGCAGATCGGAACGTGCCCCGCATTTCTCACACACAAATGACACACGAAACGTACTTATAGGTACCGATGAATGCGAATAAGCGTCTCAGTTTTTACTTCGCTGCGTCTGAAAAGTGCGCCCTTTTCGCAAATGGAGACTGCGCAACGATTACAGTGACCTTTGTTCGCTCGGTAACCGACAGATTCGTTCCGGTGAAAGACCAACACCAGCCAAGACGTATGACTGTCCCCACTGCGAGATAAGCGCAAGCCTGAGCATCCACCCCGCCCCCTTTTCGTAGGGCAAAGTACGCATGGGAGATGAGAGCGGGCGCCGCAACGTCGTGGCGATCTGGTGACGCGCGCTCATTGCACCATCTTGGAGGTAATGCTAAAAACACGATAGTTTCCCCGAGATGCCCGTCACCAGCGGTAAGTGGTAGGTCACTAGCGGTAAGTGGTATAGTTTACCGTTAGCGGGATAGTGGAGGATAAGAGAATGGCGTTACCGTGCAGCAAACGTTTGTTGTGGACATAGTTTAGCAAGATAGAGTTTACGTGGTTTACGTGTCCCAGCTGGGATGGTGGCGCCACCTATCGGAAGGTTCAAAAGTAAGAACAGTCAAAAGAAAAAAAAACGAGAATATCTGCTTGTGTCACCGCGCGAAGCATTTTTAGAAGTTTATTTTAGGAATAATGACAGTAAATATATAAGAACCATGCACCAAACGCGAAAAAAGTTATGTTGCCAATTTGTGTACATCGATCTTGTAGTTAGGCCTAGCTACGTTTGAAACGGGAAGCTATCTCAAAAAACTACGCCAACTTATCCGTAAGACTCGGTCATCGAAGCTAACTGAAGATATGCGAAGCCACTTTAAACAGTCATTTGCTGCGAACAAAGTGAATCTTTCAATAACTACGCCAAAATCTCTTCGAAGCGGGCGTCCGAGAGCGGCGGTGTGTTTTACGTACACTACGTGCACCTACGCTAACACGGTAACGTTAAATCTGAAAGATTGCGCGCCTATGGTAAGCGGTACGAGTAACGTACGTATCTGCGCATGCGCACTTCGATCCCGCTATCACGGTACGCTCGTTTTACTAGAACTGTTTCTAAATAACTTGCCGTTGGAACGTTGAAGGAGGTGCTCCATCGTGGCTCAGTGGCGAACGCCTCGTACTCACAATTCAAAGGTCCCACGTTCGGCTTTGTGCGACGCAGTCTTCTTCTGGATTATTGTTTTCTTGCGTTTTCATGTACATGTATACGTATTTATATACAGGGAGTGACAGCGATGCCGACGTCGACGCCGACGCCGGCGGCAAAATCCAGCCGAGAGTGTCAAGCAGAAGAGCACTTGCTGTACCCTTCTTCCATTACTGGTACTTACCGGCCGTTGTAGGGCGTTATTTCGTTGATACTGTGGTACTGTGGTCATCGGTTCGATCTCTGTGGTGGAGGGTGCAGTTAATTTGATGGGTGCAAAGTTCCGAGAACGTTCGCGTATTCGTATTTGGGTACACCGTTAAAACCCGACGTGGTAAAAGTTATTTTGGAATGCTTCCTCCAGAGGGACTTAAAATTTCCTTACAATTAGATTTTGGAACGTAAGAACACAAAATTGAGATTTTCGTGCACTGCCGTTGTCGTGGCACGCAAATAACCAAATTAAGTTTTCTTCCTCAATACCAACTTTCTTAATTGTTTAGATGTTTTGATTTGAAACATTAATACGAAAAGGAGTGAAATTATGTATATAAGCTTTTTTGTTTTACCAAGCAGACTCAGCAAATCTTCATATTTCCCTGTGTATAAAAATGGAAGAACTTCACCTAAACGTTTAGAGGCTATTCCTCAATATTCGTATTCAGTTATAAAATTTTACTATGCGAATTAATGGCCTTAGTTACTTATATATATTTTTTTATATTATGAATAAAGTAACCGAATTAGTTTTTACTTTAATCTCTCCATGTCGAATCCTCTAAAAGGGAAAAAAAAAAGCACTGCATATAACCGTCCATGCCCGCGTGATAGAAGCGTGTGTATACAGGGTGTCACACGTAACTCTAGTCAGAGTTTAAAGATATGCCGGAACACGTAACTTCGACGCCACCAAATGCATGTTGCTCACCGTTGCCTGGAGTTAGACTATTTATTTCTTTGTGCTCTCAAATAATGTTTAATTAGATCTGTTTAGTGAACTAAATATTTGAAGTAACGAAGAGGGATAACAAATATCAATGAGGAAGTTGTATATCAGTTTGCAAAACGTCAAAGTAGATAGTTCTGAACTTTATATTTGTTAAGTATTAGTGTCTTTCTGCTAACTACAAATGCCCATGAAATAAAAAAAAATACCACGTGACAAACCTGCTCTCGCGTCAGTGCGCACAATGATTCTAGTGCTCCCTAACGTGCCGCGTATGAACGACACGCTTCCATCGCACCGGTTCATGACAGCGATAAGCAGTCACAGCGGTTATCGTTTTTGTGGTCGGTAGCAAAACGTGTTCATTGTAAAGCCACCCCCATCGTTGGGGCCCTGCCGAGACAGCACAAGAGCAAATGCTATGGTCGTTCGTACGTGGAACGTTAGAGAGCACTAGAATCATTGCGTGCACTGGCGCACGAGTCGTGGGTTTGTCACGTAGTTTTTTTTTGTATTTCACGGGCATTTGTGATTAGCAGAAAAGCACTAATACCTAACAGATATAGAGTTCAAAAGTGTCTAATCGGACGTTTTGCAAACCAATCTACAACTTTCTCATGGAAAGTTTTTATCTATCTTCGTTTCTTGAAACATAGGTAATTAAGCTTATCTAATTAAACAATATTTGAGAACACAAAAATAGTCTAACTCCAGCCAATGGTGAGCAACATGCATTTGGTTGCGTCGTAATTACGTGTTCCGGAATATTTTTAAACTCTGGCTAAAGTTACGTGGGACACGCTGTATATGGGCTGGTTGGCTTAGGCATGCTCAGAAAAAAGGGCGAATACAATAATAGCTTTCATCAGGACATTTTTTTTTTTGTATCAGGGGCAAGAATCAGGCCATCAGATGTACGTCGCTCATCTGTACCGAGTTTGTTACAACAGTTGACCAGCTCAATCATTAGTTGAGAGACCTTTATGCACAAGACATTTGTTTCGCTTCACCGCCATTTGAGGGGGAAGTGATGCTAAATTCATCTTCAGAGTATTTCGAAAACTGTTTTAAATTTAAGTAAGAAAAATAAAGTAACTTGTTGTAGGGATCAATGAAGTATGACAACCGAAGCGCACGTCAGTTTGAGTCGCATCGCGCCACCATGTTTTATCGGAGAATTCTCCACTTATCGAAAAGTTGACGCAATGGAGAACGCCAGTCAATTATTTCGGATTGCGCCTCAAGGACGCAGTTGGAAACGTAGACGGCAGGGTGCAGCCCATGGTGCGGTAGCTAGACTTCTTTTTTATGGGGGCGTTTTCCTTTAAAGGTCCTTTGTCAATTGGTTTCACAGGGTGCCTGGTCAATTGCTTTGCCCGGGACGCTCCAGAGAAATAATGGGCAACTGTTACGTAAGAAGCGCCAACAGAACAGCGAGTCTATTTTATTGGTTCTCTTTCGCTTGTTTGCGCCGTCTGATGCACCCTTCTTAAATAATAGCTGGAAACTTGTTCCAATGATCATGCGAAGAGGCTTCTTGGCTATTTCAAGCTGACATTCCTTGAGCAATAGGAGTATCGGGTGACAGCTGTATGGCGAGGCGGACGGAAGACGTTTCTCGAACTACCGGAGAGTGTAATCAGCTGCTTGAACTCAGAATTTCGGGGAGGATAGTCCTCGTGCACATCTAGTTTCTCTGCTCTTTATTGTACGCGTTGCGTTATTATTTTATAAAGACGTCTTTAAATCAGTCTCTCCGTTGCCTGCATCTTTCGAGGAAAAAACTTCATCTGCAGAACAACACTCGAAGACCATCTGTCTTGGGCGATGCTGCAATCTTCTTCGGTCGGCTCTACAGTGCCCATCTCAACGTTTTATGGAAACCTCTCAAAGATAATTCTCCAATGCTTCCAACGCACCAGCTAAACTGCCCGAAGCCTAAGTAACATGAGTGGCCCATATGCCTATGTGTACGTATGGATAGAAGCAAAGTCAGCAAATTGTTCTGGTACCACACATCGGCTCGCGATGCCTGGTAGGCGGACGCGCCTAATGCGTCCGTCCACAACACGCACTGTAGCAATGACAGCAGCATTACCGAGCAATAAGCAAATGTCATTAGCAGCTGTTAAACTCTGTAAGCGCGCATGTCCCAACTCTCCATGTAGTATTTGCAGGAACATATACTATGCGCCAGGTACGGGAAGGGAGGCCGTGTTCTGTTGCACTACTCCAGGTTTTCTGAGAACAGTGGAATGATAACTCTTCAGAGGTAATCGTAACCACCGAACGTTCATGCACTATCAAAAAGTGATCCAGCACAACAAACGCTTGAAAAATCCCAGTAGCCGACCAGGCCATACTTGGCTCGCTCAAAGAATTCACTCTTCCTCAAGCTTGCGTGTACATGTCGCATGATTGATGAGAAAATGATTGATATTGAGTTCAATGCCTCAAGTAAAATGATGTGCAGTGATATTTGTCGTAGTGGTGGTCTCCATATGAAGATGTGACCACTAAGTGTTTTATTCGTTTTTCGCGGACACGCGAACTTTCGAACACGTGCTGCCTTAAAAAAAAAAAAAAAAACGTGACGTGGTCGTTCCGTGCAGATTGTTTTCACTGAAGCACGTGGTACAGCATGTGTTGTACATTATCTAGGTTTTTCGTGGCGTAAGTTGTTACAGCTCATTTTTTTACCTTTTTTTAAAATTTTCTGTGGGTCTTTAGAACAATATCTTTAGAACAATATGCCTTTATGACAACATCACGAGCCTTTTTCTCGTCCTGCTGCTGACGAAAGAAAGGACACAGACTCAGAGGCTCATATCACACACTAATACACCTTCCTTTATTGTTTATCTTGTTGCACCTTTCGTCGGATGCTCATGGCATTCTTCAACGGTTCCGTAAGTTGACCCTTTGCACGATGAAACATTACTATCACATTATCTGAATAACACTTACACGCACACACACGCACACACATCTAATACATGATTGTCAAGGTTGATTGATATTGCTGTCTATGCATTTCGTTAACAGACGCACATTGTGCTCTCCTTGCCCTAGTAAGGTCCAAGACAAGTTATGGTTTGTCCCCGTGAAATATCTTCATTTCTTTTTCTAGCAGCTAAAAGTTTAGCACATTGCTGTGCTCGTCCACATCGGCCACCGCGTATCTGTGCAAGATACGCACAGATACACGGCGCCATCATGAAGCGACGAACGTTACACAAGGGTTAATGCAAGGAATCGCACAAGATTCAAGCTCTTTGTCGAAAGATAAATCAACGTGCGGGAACGAAAGAACAAAGGAGCGTTTTTAAAGGGTAACAGATTAATCCTGCAACTGCCTAGCACGTCCTATTTTATTCGCCAAGATAAACACTGCTTTTACGGAGAAAGTTGTTCTTGCAAAATTGTTGGTGAAAAGAAAAAAAAACAATACTGTTCACTTGAAGCAAAACCTTGTGACCTTTGATTTAGGCAAACGTGTCCATTTCCACCCGGTCGAGTTTTCGCAGTGCCGCATAGTCTAGATATAACGGTCCGCGTTTACCTAATAGTTTATTTTGCACTTGAGCGTTTAATTAGGAACCTATACATATTTATCTAATGCGTTATAATGGCATGTATTGATGTATATTGTATTCTGGTTATGTGATTAGCGTCAAATGAGATGCATTCTTAAAGTGGACTAGATATTTTGGCTGTATGGAGCAGAAAAAAGCAAAAGCGATAAAGGTGATGGTTCTACCATCACACGTTTTCTCCTACAAAATATTGAGACGTTGTAAGTTTGTTGCAAAAAGAAAAAGAAGAGCTCACTCTTTGGTAATTCGTTAGTCATGTACGTGTTTTCTATTTTCGTCAGAAACGACAATAAAATAGCAATGTGTTCATAGCACGAGTAACAGGCGATGCTAACAAAATATACAAATTGAGGATAGAACCACACAGCATCCGCCATGAGCGAAACTGCATAAGTTATTCTTGTAGTCTTATGCGAGTAACACATGCGCGTATACATTACTGCATAGTATGTGACAGTTTAATGTACACGCAAGATCTTGTACGCAGGGACTACGCGTCGTCCTGGCCAGCGGTAAACGCGCGCAGTGGCAGCATAGCTCCTATATTGGGAATCTAACATTGCATTACAATTCGTGTTAAATTATTTCAGCTGGGAAACTTAAGCTAAAGCCCCAAAATCACCATGAAGAGCCGTGTACATCGGTGTGATTATTCATACTGGCGTTTCGTTAACTGTGATCGTAAGGATTCGGCCCTGTAACAGCTGGGTTTTCCCGTGAACGCTATGGCGTTGGACAACGGAGCAGTGAAATTTCCCTGCAAGTAACTGCTCGCATGGACTTTCCAAAAAGTCTTTCTAACCAACTGCACTGTTGCTGCATGTGATAGGCCTTAACATAATCGCGTCGAGACGCTGCTAGAATGTGGCTTTTCTGTACGAATCGATTAGTAGGCTTTTAAGGTGCGGGGTTGACGCGTGAACATATAAGCATGTACAAATGACATTTGCCCTTATTAAGTGAACAAAAAAAAAAGGAATGTCGCCGCATATTCTGATTGAAAGGCTTTCTGGTAGCTTTCGAATCGCGTCTGATAAACTTATACGTATACGTATGTTTCCTTTGTCTTTTTTTAAAAGCAGTGAGAGTAACACCAACAAAATACATTGGCGAACTTGAGTGACCCGCAGGCTGACACTATAGGTTATATTTCACGTATCGAGCAATATATTTAAGCGTCTGTAAGGGCACTGCTCACGTTTGCAGGAGATATTGTTCTTGGACAGTTTGCGGCAACATATGGCAAAAAAAAAAAAAATCCCGGTAACTTACTCTCGCCCCGGGAAAGCACGTGCCGGATGGGACAACCTTCTACTGATCGGTGTTCCCGCTTATTTTATACTGAACTGCAACAAACGGTGGTTTAGGCTTCCGGAAAACGGCGCTAAGCATCGCACCGCGACGAAGTGACGGTGGTTCGTACTGTTTGCGAAAACTCGCACCAAGAGACGGGCGTATAACCTCGAACCATCCCGTGCCACTTTCAACTTGATTTTCAGCCTTACGTATAGGGACACGTAATTGCACTTAAAGGATCTTGAAAACATGGCTGCACACAATGTCTTGATTTTCTTTGGTGCGATGGTATAATACACGATGTGGCTTGATTGTCAACAGCTAAAGAGGTTGGTTCACAACAGGTAACACCTGACACGGCTTACAGCGACACAACGAATTAACAATACAATCGGAGCACGGCTTACACCGATGAAGGAAAATTGTAAAATTACGCCTATAGATACGTCAAGCATTAACATCAACCAACGCCTAAGCTGCTACGGCCTAGATAAGTTTTGTCTCGAAACAACGAGGGGACCGTCATTCTTGCCTTCTCACAGTCCCAGAAAAGATTCCGCTACAGGCGAGTGCATCCTTGAACAAAGTGTATAAGTACGAGGGCTCTGTGAATATGCGAAAATATTGCTCAGCAATCAAGTCTCTAACAGGTTCAAAAAGCAGTGACGGTAAATAATACATATGTACATATATATAAGTTACTCTCAGCACCTGCAACACATTGTTTTGCTCGTACAACTAACACATTCAAACAGCCGAACACAGCACGCTACAGGGCAGTGTGCTGAATAGAACGTTTTTGGTTTCGCGTACGAAGATGAATGCGAAGTGCAAAATAATATATTTAAGGACTGTAATAATCCTATTTACTGTTCAAGAAATCACACAACTAAACAGGGTGGGCATGCATGCAAACAATAGGCAATTTCACAGAAATGTCATGCCACGACACAACAATAAAAAAAAACATGAATGTTTGCGGCGAGTAGTGAGTGGCACTCTTTTGATCCTCGAACATCACAAAGTAGGCAAATGCGTTTGTCGTGACCTCAACTCAAACGGTCGAAATCCGGCGGGTATGAAACCTCCCGTGTGTTGTCTATTGTCCTAGACAGAACCTGAAAAGTGAACATCAACGCTTGCGACATAATTCAGCATTTATTAGTATCCAAGATGTCCACTGTTACTTCTTCCAGTCGTTATTTCAATTAATAGGCTGACGCGTGACAGATCGCAATTCGTAAGCATACAGCGTGCGCACTGCAGGAATTTGCGTAAATGCCACCAAAGTTTTTAGTTTGCGCTCCGTCTGCATGGGGTGGCTCGCATACGCTCTTTTGATTTGATGTGCGTCGTAGACGCTTTCTACTTCTGACTATGCAGAATAAATTCCAGAGTAAGGTCCAAAAAGGGCATATTAGTCTACTGCACGAGTGTTGTGTAACATCCCAGGTTTCGCCGTGTACCACGGAGGTGGTGCAGCTTTCGACTGCCGAAATGCAGCGGCCTTTTCACGACTACACGTTCTCCCAGTTCATCGTAAATGCTTTGCTACTGTGTAGTATAGGATTGTCCAGACCCTGTGCCATCAGGCATTTTGGACGTAGCTCAAACCACGCCCGTGATTATTGATTGTCACCGAACAAGACAAACGAAGACAAAAGGAAACATGTGTATGTATATATATATATATATCTATATATCACTCCAAAGAAGGGTACCACGATCACAGTGCACTTTAAACTTGATTGTCATCGCGCTGACAACATTGAGTTATCGACCACAACAAGTATTGGGTATAGCTTCCCCGCGATAAACGTTCCCAAAAAATACCGACGCCTCTATGCTGACGCGCTGTATAACGTGATTGTCACAACATGTCTGCTTTGACGCTGCCACCTCGCGGTGCGTCTCGCAGATGTCAATACTCTGCAGTACAGAAGCCACTCTGCTGCGCGCCGGGTGTGCAGGAGCCGGTAGTGCACGTCGCTTGCACGGGAGAAAAGAAGAGAGGAAGAAAGATCTTTCCATATGGCAATAGTTATGTGGTATAACGATATCTAGCTACTGCAGACATAGGGAGTGCTAAAGGGCCACCGTTCATAGTAGCAGTCGACATAGTTAATGTCCCGGCTTTTATAGCGCTGCCTACTACGGCATTAATTTTGCCTATCGGCGATTACAACACGGTTCAGACAATGGGCGCCTGGACTCCCGAGGTGTGGACACGAGCTAGACATCAGTGGCTGCATGCTATGAAACACAAGAAAGGGGCCCACCTTTAGCCCTCCTCAACCTGCAATGTGTCCCGTGCTGCTGCACGTGCAACTGAGTTGGTATAGTATACCGTCCGGCTACGTTGGGTTAGCTGGTATAACTAATTGATGCGAGCAGAGTGGAAGAGAACAGCGTAAAGGGAAGACAACAATAAATAGACACGGGGGAAAACTCTACTTGTAACCTGAAATGCGCCTCACCCTTCCCATGCGTTATAACATGCATAAAATCGAGCATCAAGTATAGCTTCCCGTTAATGCAGTCGGATTCGATCAAATTGGAAGCAAATGAAAACTCCACTTAGCGCAGTAATTACCCACATGACGCGGAATTAATGTTCTCATTGCCACATTCGTTTGGCCTTTAGCGCGCAGCTGAAATACACCAAAGGTGATATACTACAAAATTTTGCAAGTATGAAAACAGAGGATTTGCTCATTTATCCTCGCACGACTATGTTTTTGTTACCCAAGTAACAATATGTAATGAGGTTGACGTGCACTTACACTCAACACGAATAGGCCCCTTTCACCATGTCACATAGTAATTACGGCTACCAAAATAAGCGAGCCGACTTCAGCGCTGGAAGTAAATTGGGCTGGTGACTCCCGTTTCTGGCGCGAGCACATTTTGCGGATGGTAGAGCATATAACATTCAGGCGCCAACCAGGTGGCATTAAACTAACAAAAGACAGGAAATAAATCCTGCGAGAAACGAAGTATTTGGTGCGATAGACCTTATCGGCTGAAGTCAGCGACTGCAGGCTGTACATCACCTAACCTCATCAATTACAAGTCTTAGCGAGAGTGGTTTCGCTCTCACTTGTAATTGCTAGCTGTAGCCCTCGGTCACTAAAACAGTGTGTAATGGGACACAAAAGCAAGCACAAAATTAGGCTTGCCTTATGTGCAAGATTGCATCATACGCTAATTTCGCGTCATCATAACGCTTTTAGTCATAACAGTGTGTTTTTTGAAAAGTCGAGAGCACGACGAATGTTTGATTAAAGAAAGCACGCTTGCAATGGCCCGGTCACGGGCATAGTATTACTGTTTTTACACGATGATCTTTCGCAACACTGGATAATGGCACGTACTTTGTAAAAACATTAGGTGAACGCTTAACGTTTGCTGCTAACAGACTTGTAAACATACCGTTAGCTTACGGATTGATTTGTCAGGATGCCTCAGCGTTGGTCGTACTAAAGTTCACTCGTGAAGTATGCCGTTCCATTTAAATGCTTGGAATGACCATACACACTCACCGTAGTTTAGCATTGCCGTTCTCAGCAGAGAGCTACCTATACTGCAATTACTTCATTTGGCTCATTGACGAAGCGCAAGACTGATCATCGTTTTGTGTCCCTTCGAATACTACGCTCACTTCAGGAGGACAGCTTGGTGATTTAGGGCAACCTAACGGATGAACACCAAGTCGTCTTTTCTATAGTTCTGCCTGCACTAGAGCACGGCTGCGTTACCTATCCAATGTTCCTACCCATCGTTCCTACTAACTGCTATTTAAGCAACAACTTTTTTACCACGCATCTTCTCACTGTCAATGAGTGCCCTAAAATTCGTCATTTCCAGCGAGAGAACTGCTAGCGCAACAATATGTGACGTTACTCGCACGTTCGCTACACCAGCGCCATCTGAGAAGCGACTGAGGGCAGCTCCGTACCACAGTATACGCCAGACGGCCAAATGGCGCGGACAGGACAAGCACGCACACACACGAGAAACACGGGCGAGACACGGGGAACGTGGGTGGCGATTGGGGGGCCGGCTCGCGCGCGCCAGTGGACAGAGGAGAAGGGCCGGGCGACAGGGGAGCCGCCCGAAGCGGGGGCGAACTATAAGACCCGTGCGACTCCGGGGCTCGTCCGAACCCCTGCCAAGCCTAGAGCTTGGTAGTGTCTTCAGATGAGAGCGCGTCACCCCTGTCGCCCAGCGGTGGCGGCGGCGGCTGCGCTACAGTGGTGGAGAGCGGCCCGCCGCCAAACGGAGACAGCGGGTCGCCTCCAATGGCAGCGGATGGCTTGACCTGGAACCCCTCGACGTCTTCCTCGGGGTGCAGGTTTAGCGCCGGGTTGACGCGGCCGTTCATCTCGGTCTGGTAGCTTTTGACGAGGCCGCCCGCGTTGAGCACCGTCATCTCGCCCTCGTGGGGCTCCTGTACCTTCATGATGTCCTCCGGAATGTTGACGACGCAGTGGAACACGTCGAACCGCGCCGGAACTTTGCCGCTCTCGAAGAGCCAGCGCGTTAGCGACGAGATGCTGAGGATGCTCGCAAGGCTGGTCAGCATGGCAAGCGTTCGGAACGGAAAAAGCTGGCCGTCCTCCTCGTTGTAGAATGGGTACCTGGGCAGGTAAGAAGGGCACGTCGTTTCACGGGTATGCACAGTAAGCAAGAAACTTTCTCGCACTTCCTCGAAAAGTACATTAAAATTTAACAGTTTGGCGTGCAGCAGCAGACGTAATGATGCTGCTATAGTGAAGCTGCATCATTTAACAACCAAACACAGACATCATAAGGTAATTTCGAAAGACGGTAATTAAGCGTAACAGTGAGGAAACCAGCTTTGTGTCGCCGAGCAGTTTTGTGTCGATTTGTGTCGCGCACCAAATTTCGAATCGGTCTACTTCCATTCACACAAGGATGAAACACTCAGCTTGAACCTGACATAACTAGTGTATAAATCGGGCAGTCAGAGACAGTTGCTAACCTATCACGATTCTTAGTGAAAGAAATGTGAAGACCCTTAGACTTTTTTAATATTTCAATTCAATTGTTTTCTGTTACCCCAAGGTGCGCTTATCCTCGCAGAGAGCGCGCACTCCAGCTGTTGGCACATGCGTCTGTTAGTCCGCGTCTTCACTTCGTTGCCATCCTCTTTGCAGCATATCTATTTTACTCGACTACCGCCATATTGTGTAACCTGAAAAAACCAGCCACCTTTTACATACTGGACTTTTTGGACACAGACGACGCCAAGAAACCGTGGATATTTTAGCAAATGTACATATTCGCTATTGATCTTTTCAACGTGGGCGCCGCCACCTTGCCTAGCGGACGGCTCCGTCCCTGGTCTAGCAACCTACTGGAGCATGCGAAGCTCCGCGTTTCTATGTGAGGTATTCGTACGGTTGAAGTTGCAGTCGGTCTTTTTTTTTTCTGGCACACTGCATTTCGTTTCAAATGATGCAGTATAGATAGGAAATGAGTCTGAGACGTCCTGAAATGCTTCGATTCATTCGGGGTCAAATATGATAATATGCGATGGCGTAAACTTATTGAAAGTGGTCGTTGTCATATGTTTTCGGCACCCTTTCTATTGAAAAAAAACGTAAGAATATTTCGACCAGTTCCAGCAGGGGGAGCAAGTGCTGGCACCATTTGAGAATACAATAGATTTTCTCCCCTGGGCTGTAATATTTAGGCTCGTTTTTGGACTCGCGGTTTGCTTGACTACCGCCCGCACATGGGATCGTGCGTGAGCACGCAGTTGCGATCTCTTGGCGATGACGGCATTGGTTTGTTGCTCAAAAACTGTTGTCTATCTTTTGCTGGACTTTCAATTACAACTCAATACTCGATTGTTTGTCCCCCAGGTGCGGACAAAATTACAACTGTTTACTGGGTAGTGCTGGCAGTTAAGCTCAACGTTAACAGCAGTATTCGTGCTAACTAACGCCAGCAGGATTTCCGCTACTGACCATCTATCTCGGCTGCACGGAAACTCTCACTCAGAGAAAGTACCTCTCACTCAGGTCAGCATTTATTGCTACTTCACTCGAGTCATTCTGCTGCAAATGACAACGTATGCATCGACCACAGTCAATGCGACTAGCGCCTGCCGACTGATCAGAGAGAAATGGTACATCTAAGATCCCACCACGCCTAAGGCTACAGCATAACGCTGATCGTCACGTAATTTTGCAGTCATAAGCGCGATAAGCTTACGGCCACGAAATGATATTCATTTGACGGGTGCCTGTGCTAACAAAACTAACAAAAATTTGTCGTAAAAAAGAAAAAAAAAAAGGGCAAATCCCACGGGAATCGATGATGTGCGAAGCACGAATGAAGAAGGTTGATATGTCCCGTGAAAATCAGCATAACGTTACGAGGTGGACATAAATTATGTCATACATGACTTCCACGTCATGATTATTGTGTTTGAACGTGTAATTTCCCTTCGTCGTCTATTCACGTCACGTGATAACAATTTTTGTATATGTGGAGCTAGCGAAACGGTCGCGAGCGTGCTATGAGCGAAGCATGCACTCGTGCTTTGCATGAAACGCATCATAATTATCATGTTTGGACGTATCATTTACCTTCGTCGTCTATTCATGTCACGTGATACAGTTTGGTATAAGCGAAGCTAGCTAAACGGCCGCGAACTCATCATGAGCGTAGTATGCTGTCATGTTTACATCACACGTTTGTAACGATTATCATGTTCGCACCAGTCTTATACATTCGTCGTCTATTCATGTCACGTGATCGTGAATTTGAAATATGTTGAGCTAGCGAAGCGGCGTGAGCGCGCTATGAGCGTAGCATGTAGCTATGTCTTTTACATGACACGCATATCATGATTATCATGCTTGGACGTGTCATCTACCTTCGTCGTCCATTCACGTCACGTAATACCAAATTTGGTGCATGTGAAGCTAGCGAAACGGCCGCGACTGCATTATGAGCGTGGTATGTTGTCATGTTCTTACATCACACGCTTGTCATGATTATCATGTTTGCAACAGTCTTATTGGCAGTGTTCATAGACTGTCGCGCTGTCTAGCGGTCCAGGAACGTACTCTCGAGGAAGATCAGTAGGCAGACGCTCCCAACGCTCCCTTGTTCGGCAGTTCTAGCCTCAGTGTTAACGCGTTAGCAAAAAGCGAACACAAACCACTTCGTGTTTCGTGCATCAGTGAATCTACCAGACCGTTCGTGATACGGCAAATTTGATTCGTTCTTGCGAGACGCAATGTTTTCGTGAAAATACGTGGCAACTCGTGGTTTCGATTATAGCCCGCAGATAACACATATCAGCTTCGAGAGATTTTCTGCAGCCACGTTGGATTGTTAAATGTTATCGTCTGACCTTTGCAGTTGAAATCCACATTGTTTTACGTGCGTGCAGCATTCGTCAGTGCTTCTGTAGTGCACGAATCCCATAACATTCATTGCACGCGGAAAGTATAGCGCAGGTTCGCGATTTGCGTTTCCAAACCTTAGCCTACGCTGCACCGCTTGAGTTTTTTTATTTTCGTTGATAGATGGAAACACTCTGCAAGCGATTTTATTTTTGCCTGGTATCGAAGTGGATTGTTTTCTCTCTCTCTCTCCCCCCCCCCCCCCCCCCAGATAAACGTACTGAGTGACGCTGTGTTGGTGTTGTGCGTGGTGAATGACGCGTTGGTGGTGCTATCGAAATGGTTCGTCGGAAAGAATTCCTCAGATTACTTTCAGCTGTGATGTTCAAAGAAACCCTTTTGACGTCCAGGATTTTTCACTGGACGTATAGATGGTTGTAAAGGTGCCGAGAGTGACAGCCACAATGAACGATCAGTGCACGAGCAGCGAGTTGCACTTCACGTGTCATTTTGCGTTAATGTTTTTTCACACTCGTAAGCCACTTCCATTGAATTTATTGTATAATTTCCTTCAGCGGCGAAATCAAAATAAAAGTATAGTTTTTCTTGTGCATTGCATGTAGCCCAATTACAGAGTGGATATTACAAAGCGCCACATGCCACCAACACGCTCGAGCTCGACCAGCGAAGCGAAATGGTTAGAACAATGAAATATGCAGTTACGACTAGAGTTCACGCTAACTTTTCTTGCACTTCACCGGTGCCATCCGAACGACGTTGTTCTCTGAGGAATTCTCAGAATTTTGACGTTGCGAATGGCGTACGCACGTATTCGTTTCGATATTCTTGTTTTGATTGCGCTGATGGAACCTGCAACATCCGAGTGCAGGGAATTGCACACTCCGATTATGGCTGGGACACAAACGCTACATAATGTGAAGTTAAAGGCTGGTGTTTCATTAAGGAAGCAACTCCATGGTGCTTACAGCGCAACTATTGACGACAGCTTATTGGGTTGACAAACCATCGCTATACGTTGAACATTCGGTCCTGTGCCACCACGACGGCGCGCGACTCGCTAGTAGACACTTTTAGTTGCCGTACCTCACGAGCCTACGTACGTGGCGCGATACGTTGCGTACGCTGCATGCGAAGCGCTCAACGACACATTTAGTTCACTGTATTGACCGTACCGAGATACGCTTGATTCAACTAGACGTATGTTCTTAGAAATAAAACAGATTTTGGGTGCTTTTTAGCACCCTCGTGTGGTAGCAGCGCAACACCATCCCTCAAAGTAAAAGATACTCGATTTGGGCCGGCTTTGTTGCTCTCTGTGTTCGACGCCGTCGCTGTCGTTCATCTATCTGGTTCCTATATCAATCAAGATATCGCGAGAGCATCACGCCATGGACGCCTCGCCTCGTCACGTTTACGCACGCCACTTTTTTTTTTTTTTTGAGCGTACGCGCGCATCTCTGAAATAGGTACGTTACGTACTGCACATGCGCAGTTCTCTCCCGTGGCAGTGCTTCGTACGTGGGCTCGTTACGTGCGCCCAACTAAAAGCGTTCATTGGCCTACTGCGGCAAATCCACCAGGCAGGCTCGACACAAATTCTCTCAGAGTGCCGGTCAGTTCATACGTGAATTCTAGTTCGTGCAGTTTTCTGTAGCACGCACAGTATTAGGCAAAACATCGTTGATACGTCGTGATACTGTGGCGGGCTGTTGGCAAATTCAGCAAAGCACATCCGGCACGTGAGCGATGGTTTTCTAATCTGAGAAAACCGGGTTATCGCGCGATATCAACCAGGCGACGGCACCTTGAAAGGGGGGGTGATGAAGGAAGAGGTTGACGGTGCGGCGAGGGTGTTGTGGCAGCGATAAATGAGCACCGCTACTTTCCTGCGTCACGGGGCTTCGTACATCGAAAAGGGTAGGGGGAGCCGGGGCATAGTTTGTAGCGCCATCTCTCGGGCTCCTTGCGAAGCAGACCATTATCGGGCAGCGGATAGTCCTGCAGTGTTCGCTCGCCTATAGTATTCTTGCACCGTGACGTCATGTAATACTAAATTCAGTAAAATTGGAACTAGCGAAACGGCCGCGATCACGCTATGACCGTAGCAGGTAGTCATGCTTTACGTGACAGCATATCATGACTATAATTTTGGACGTGTTATTTACCTTCGTCGTCTATTCACATCACGTGATACCAAGTTTGGTATATGTGGAGCTAGTGAAGTGGCACCGAGCGCGCTATGAGCGTAGCATGTAGTCATGTTCTACATGACACGCATGTCCTGATTATCATGATTGGACGTGTTATTTACATTCGTCATCCATTCACGTTACGTAATACCAAATTTGGTACATGTGAAGCTAGCAAAACGGCCGTGAACGCATCATGAGCGTGGTATGTTGTCATGTTCTTACATTACATGGATGTCATGATTATCATGTTGGCACCAAACTTATACCTTCATCACTCATTGCCGTCATGTAACCCCGAATTCGGTATATTTGAAGCTAGTGAAACGACCACAAGCGCACTATGAGCGTAGCATGTAGTCATGTTGTTACATGACGCGCATGTGATGATTATCATGTTTGGACATGTCATTCACCTTCGACGTCCGTTCGCGTCACGTAATACCAAATTCGGTACGTGTGAAGCTAGCGAAACGGCCACAAGCGCATCATGAGCGTGGCATGTAATCATGCTGTTACATGACACGCATCTCATGATTATCTTGTTTGCTCCAGTCATATACGTTTGTCATGCATTCACGTCCTAAACGAAATTTGGTAATTGTGAAGCTATCGAAATGACGGCGGTCGCACCATGAGCGTGGCGTGTAGTCCTGACTCATGATTTACATGACTTGCATGTCATGATATCCACGTGGGGGTCTGTCACTTGTGTTCGCCATGCAGTCATGTCATACAATATCACTTTTGCAACATGTCATGCGAGCCGAACCACCACAAGAGCAGCAAGACCATGAAATGTAGTTCATAACATTCATGACATACATATAATTTTCATGTTATGACAAGTCACTTATGCTCGTCATGAAGTCATGTTATGCCATACCAAGTTTGGTATCGATACCATTACTGAAACAGCTAGGAGAGCCAAAAGTCGTAGGCGGATATATAGATAGATAGATAGATAGATAGATAGATATATAGATAGATAGATAGATAGATAGATAGATAGATAGATAGATAGATAGATACGCTCAAAGTCACCGAAGTTCACTAAGAAATGCTAAGTATTTAAAAACAGGAAAGCGTTGCAGCTTCACTAACAGGCACAATTTCTCTTTCTCACATTTAATGTATACATTGTTCTACTAAAGTATCTGTTGACGGCATTTCAAGCAATTTATCAGCGCAAAAATAGTTCACAGTCCCATCATAGCTTCAGCTTTCATGAAATAGAAATGTGCCAAATGATGAAAGGCAGTTGTAACAGCTAATATTCTCGTTGTATGCATGATGTATAGAGAAGAGTCGGCAACAATGCAACCGGCTTCATGCAACACGTCCTTGCATGTATATACCTTTTAACTGTATTTGGAGTCATGCAACTGTGTTGCGCGCGTACAGAGGTGCTGTATTTCATTGCAGAAATGAAGGTTGATTGATTGATTGATTTATTGGTGGGGTTTAATGTCCCAAAACCACTATATGATTATGAGAGACGCCGTAGTGGAGGGCTCCGGAAATTTCGACCACCTGGGGTTCTTTAACGTGCACTCAAATCTGAGCACACGGGCCTACAGCATTTCCGCCTCCATCGGAAATGCAGCCGCCGCAGCCGGGATTCGACCCCACGACCTGCGGGTCAGCAGTCGAGTACCTTAGCCACTAGACCGCCGCGGGTCACTTTTTTCATCGTCACTTCTTTCATTTCATTTCACTTCTTTCATCGTCAGAAATTAATGTTAGCTCACGCATAGGAGATGCGCCTTATATGCTCAGGTGGCTAGTGTAATTTAATACAAATGCTTATTGAGAAGAGCAATCATAGGAACAAGCAGAATTTATCGCACAGCATTCATGATTTTTTTTTCACTTTACCATGCACACTCAAAAATAAAAAAAAAGTGGAAAAAAGTTTGTAACTGCACCATTCACTGCTCCATAGTCAACATTACTACGTGTCGCTAACGTTTCACTTTGCAGTAAATATGTATGAGATGTAGTAAACGTTGTCATTCGAATCTAATGTGTCAGAGTAAGCAAAAATTATTACTCGCGTACTCGATGGTTAGTAAGTTGTACTAGCTCATGTGGCCCAGATTTAGGTACACGTTCAAGAACCCCAGGTGGTCGAATTCATGGTAATAAGGGCTGCAGCGCGAGCACGAAGGTGCTAGAAGAAACAGACGAAAGGCGAGGCACGGAAAGCAAAGAGGACAGACAACACGAGCGCTGACTACCAACTGAATTTCCAAATTCAGTTGGTAGTCAGCGCTCGTGTTGTCCTCTTTGCATTCCGTGCCTCGCTTTTCGTCTGTTTCTTCTAGCACCTTCGTGCTCGCGCTGCAGCCCTTATTACCGTGAATTCAAACCAACTAGCCCAAATAGCCATTCTTCTTCCAGGTGGTCGAAATTTCCGGAGCCCTCCACAACGGCGTCTCTCATAATCATATGGTGGTTTTGGGACGGTAAACCCCACATATCTCTCTATCTAGCTCATCTGGCCGTATTATCTTGTGCTATACATATGAAAGTTATGTACTATCAGCGACAAAAGAAACCCCGAACAGCGGCAAGCATTTGGCAAGGTATAGTGCGCGCCGACCGCATATCCCCATCGACAGGCACGCATATATGCACAGAGCTGCTGAAGAGGATGCGTGCGCCTGTCATTTGTCATCCCTGAACGGCGCGCCCTATACCTTGGCAAATGCTTGCCGCTGTTCGGGTTTCATTTGACGCCTATATTACCGTCGATTGCGGTTTGAAGGTTATCGGGCGAGCGTCGACCAAGAACAGCAGTACAAAGTGCCTGAATGCTCTTTCGAGGAGTTTCGGTTTGCTTCTACTTCTTGGAATCACTTTCTTCTGAGGATGTGTAAACGGAGCAGTGCCAAGCTCCAGATTTACCACATCATTACCAGCAATATTGTTATCGTTCGCAAACTCAGAGCCCCCCCCCCCCCCCACCCCCCTACACACACAAAACACACTTGATCGCAACGAATGGAAACTTTAAAGTACATAGAAAGGGTGCAGAATCTGTTGTAGGTGTCACTGTTGTAGCTTGAAACAGCCACCGAGGGAGAGAAGAATCAGCAGTCTTCATTTTCACTGCTACAAAACATGCCGCTGGGTCCCTAGGTAGCAAGGCCAGTCGACGCTCACGCGATCATTTCCATATCACAATCGACTGTATACATACAAGTTATCAGCGAAAGCGGTCAATCAATACCAGAGAGCATTCGTGAACAAGAAGCACCAAAATTTTTCCCTCTGTGCACTGTTACAGGATAGAAACTATTGCTCGTTTCGGGGTTGCTCAGCACTGCAAATATTGTGCGAACCCAGTGCAAGCAGTGCCATTTTACGCATCAAACGCACATATTCAGTCGACTTATCTCATAGTTACATGTTTGTTTCCACGAGGAGCCATTAAAGACGTGGAATTATTTCTTTAATAATCATCGAATGTGGCCAGCTTTCTACACTGCTGGTATTAGTAAAAAACAAGACGAGTGTGTTGAGTGTGGAGAATCGGTTTAGGGAGCAACATAATGCTGGGGCGTAGCCTATCGCTCTGTTTTTTTCAAGTATTATTACATGAACCATTACTGGGTCGGTCACCTGTCATCCTTTAACTCTCCACGAATAATCTGCGCCATGTGCTTGCGCGACGCCGATCAAGTGAAACGCCCGTAGAAGTTTGTCGTGCCGCAGTGCACTGTAGCATATACAACATATAAGCACACCCTAAGGAAAAGAATATATATGTGCTACGCCTTTCAGCTAGTGCTGAATTGGTTTGTGTACAACTCTCATTAAAGAGACACGTAGACTCTCTCTTAAGCCCCACGACTCTCCAAGGAGAGTACAACGATCCAAAAAGAGAGTTCACGTGTGTCTTTAGGGAGAGTTATACACGATGCAAGCCAGGACTAGCAAAAGAGAGACAAATAACTTTTCTTATTTATTTATTTATTTACTTATTTATTTATTTATTTGGAACATTACCCGCAGCGCCATCTTAGGCAATATTGCGGGGGGCACAGTGCCTCATAGAATGAATCCACAGCCTTGCAGTCAACTAAATCAGCTAGTAGCATATTCCATTCGACAATGGCTTGCGGAAAAAAAGAATGCTTAAACAGATCCGTTCTGGGGTTGAATGGCCGTACTTTAAATTTGTGGTCATGACGAGAAGAATGATAATGCACTGGCTTTAAAATTCTGAAGGATTATTGCCTGTTTTCTTGTTATAGATTGAATGAGATAGTTTCAATCTTAGATTATGTCGTCAATCTTGTAAGTATTGCCAATTGAGTTCTCTTTTCATACATTGGGAGCTTTGAGAACATTAAGAGAGTGTAGAAAAGAGGCATGCCTAAAGAATTTAATGTCAGACGCCAACTTCGCGATGCTGGTGCAACGTACCGTGCTTGTGGCACCGCAGGTATACTTGCACAATTCAGTTTTCCCATACCTGATAACGGCTGGGAGACCAATGATGTCTTCCCCTCCTAATCCGCGGAGGAGTAGGCCGATGATGTAGGCGCCGAGGGATCCGTAAGTGTTGCAGTGGTGTTTTATGTATACAACGCAGACGAGCTGCGGAAAGAGGATGACGAAGACGAGGTCCGAGGACAGGTACCAGAGACCGTAGATGGACTTGACGGTCAGTGCCATGGCGGTGGCCATGGCGCCAACAAACAGTATGGCGACTCGCATCACCCAGATGACCTCCCGCTCGGAGGCCTGAAAAAAAAAACGCGAAAACAACGACATTTCTCAGTCAATTATCCGGTGTACTTGACACATACAAGTGTCGGGCCACGTGTGGCTTCGAGCTCGCCGAGAGCTCAAAGCATTATTATTATTATTATTATTACTATTATTATTATTATTATTATTATTATTATTATTATTATTATTATTATTATTATTATTATTATTATTATTATTATTATTAGCCTTACCATAAATGGAACTTCATACATGTACGCTTTGCTATCTTCCCTTTCTCCACCAGCTAAATATTATGGCATAAATAATAAACTGTTAATGTCTAGATCACTATGGAAGCTGCGCTCACGCACGTGTCATGTGCATGTATGAAGTCACCTTCGCTCGTTTAGTGGACGCACAACTGGACGTAGCACATTGCCCTGCTTGTAATTGTTATTCATGCAGCTCCGTGTTTAAAAATGCCCTGCTTGTCATTGTTATTCTCGCAGCTCCGTGTTTAAAAATGCCCTGCTTGTCATTGTTATTCATGCAGCTCCGTGTTTCAAAATGCCCTGCTTGTCATTGTTATTCATGCAGCTCCGTGTTTAATCTAATTGGCGCTACGTAGCGTAAGTCGCCAAAAAGTCACTCACTACTGCAACATGAACGGTACTGCGAGACTGTAACACTGGACCCTCAAATCGGCAGCAGGTTAACTGTTTTGTTATTTCTTTTACAGCGGAGCTGCCATGGGGGCTCGAGGCTAGTTGTGTGTCGCAAATAGAAAATTACCATCATCGCAAACCGGAACGCTCTCAGTCACCCCCCCCCCCCCCCAGGCACTCTGTACCGATGGTTAAAGGGACCCTGAGAGGGTTTTTTTCTCGTCAGCATTATACACCACTGGAGTGCATGTACTGCTGAATAATGAGAAAAACGCAACAAGAATGATCGAAATTGGTGCACGGCATTGAAAGTTTTTAGTCTTTAAACTTCGAAACTTGTGTGAAAAAAAAATTTCTTTCGCATTTTACTCTCCCACTGACGTCAAAGGCCTGTTCGAATCACTGAACGCTTCTTACAAAGACGTACAGAAAGACTCGCCTCCTGGTGGCACTTGTGCTGTGCACCTAGAGCATCGCTTAGAAATCGCCTTCAAGATTTCAGACTTAAGAACAAATTCCTTTGTATTTCAGAAGTGTAAAGAGTGCGTTTATAATCTTTAGAGCGCAATAGTGGAGCGTAGCCGGAACTAAATGAATATTCTATGCGAGCTTCTCATGTCAACCCAATTAAAACGCCCAGCCAGTGTCCTCAATCTCTCTTGATAAAACGTCACTTGCGCTCACAAAAACAAAAAAAAAATGCCGTTGGGGGTCACTCTCGTCAGGAACTCATGTGACATGTCCGTTGAAATAAAAGTATGACAGTACTGCTGTCGCGTTGCCACTTGCGCCATAATATTGGTGCATTGTACAGTTCCAGAAGAAGCGATTAAAACGGATCACTTTATTTGTGTCGCAGGGATCCTTTAACAAGAGAAGCTGAAATGAGTGGCCCCTGATCGGTGTATGTCATACGCGTGTTTTCTAAATTTTCAGTGGACCACTGTGATAAGTAGTGGCTTTTGCCCGATTCCTGTGGCACACGCGAGCTATAGTTTTTTTTTCCCGGCAGTGATCTTATGCTCAAGGTTGGCCATGGGTCGTAGATAGAACGTTACATGAGAAAATGGCATGTGCTCAATCACCACTTTGTATGGATGACTCATCAGAGAAGTCTAAACGGACGGCTTCTAAAGGTATAGTATAGTATTGAAAAGTATAGTAACTAGTGGGAAGAACAGGAGTGAGAGAGTAAAAGCCAAGCCAAGCCATGGCTTGACCACCTCGGTGCCCACCATCCTTGGTGTGAGCCAGTCTTGCGCGACTTAACGCAAGCTGCACGAACCTTTTCTTCTTATTTTTTTGCCGTTCACAGCTATACGTTTTCAGTTAGTTGCTGCAGGGATTTACTATGCGCACATTTCAGCTAAGTAATTTGGTCTGCATGAAAAATGGGCTAATTGTCATCGGTGAGACATGAAAATAAAAGAATGGAACTTTGTACCTTCCCACGCCTGCCCACGCCAACATCACAAGCAGGCTTAGGTCAGCGAATTCGCTCATGAATCGACTCACTCAGACTCAGATCGAGCCATGAGTCTCAGTATGATTGAGTAAAAGCGAGTAATATTTTGCTGAGTTTGAGGCCAAGTGAGTCTAGTTGAAGAAAATGTTCGTGTGTGTGAGTCCGAGTGATTTCGGCTCTGCAGAATTTCGGTGAGTTTGAGTCTGAGTGAGTCCAAGGCGTGAGGTATATCTTTTGAGTGATTGCGAGTGAGCTCCAAACGTTTTGCAGACCAATTCAAGCAAATATATCTTTGTGCTCAGGTCAGCTTTATTATTTCCACGCTTTGTAAATTGACCATTCTCGTTTGAAAATAAACAAAGCTCACCAGAAGACTAAAGGTGAGAAAAATGGCTGGCAGGAGGAGGAAAGTGGCATCTTTACAATAACGAAGTTTAACATAAATATGCTTATGCTTCGAGAGCGACGAAAGGCTAACTAGCATGCTAATAATCTGCATATGTTAATCGTTTTTTATGTTAGACACAATATTAATATTCATTCTTCACATTTAGATTACAATTACCTCATATAACATCCTCTACACTTTCTTTGGCATGATTTCCCATTACATCTCATTAATATTGTGTCTAACAAAAAAACGAGCCCTCAAGTGTACACTTCTTTCTTTCATTCATAGCGAGGTCCTCATCATGGCAGACTTGATGCCTTTGAGTAGTATGGGAGGGATTATTGGTCAGCTGCCAGCTTGTAATATTATCACGAGCTACATGACGCCCAAACAGGCAGAAATAGAGTGTGTTCCACACTCGCCGTCAAGGCTACTGGTGGCGCTGACTGACACTCCGTCGCATATATACCCCATGAATTGGATGGAGAGATTGCCGCCATGGTAGCTCAGTTGGTAGAGCATCGAACGCGTTAATCGAAGGTTGGGTCCCCGCCCGTGGCAAGTTATCTTGTCATCCGCATTCATTTTTTCGCATATACTTTACGATTACCTCATATATATATATATATATATATATATATATATATATATATATATATATATATATATATATATATATATATATTTAAGAACTTCTGTCACCTGTTCACACTTCCAGCGATGATTGATTATATTAGCCGCCATCGCTCCACAGAGTACCAATTTCATTGTTTATTTTGTATTAACTCGCACACTGTCGTCGCTAAATGTTGCCCACGGAAGCGCAAAACTGTCAGCTTCTTTTCTTTCTTTATGTATGCACAAATGAAGCATGGACAGCGCATTATTGTAAGTAAGTAGTCAGCCGACTTGCATTTTGCCTGAAGATGAGCTTGTAGACGTTTCTGGCAAACATGGAGGCTGCGCTGAGGATGGATGAGTCCGATGAGGACATGACCGCAGCCGACACGGCACCCAGCCCCACGAACGAGACGAAGCCGGGAGTCAGGTACTGCAGCACCATGGGCAGCACCAGCGATGTGTGCTCCTTGTCCAGGGGCAGCGGACCCGTGAATGCCGTCTCGTTCCACCCTGCACGCCCACCCAATCGTCAAAATGTCCCCACGTTCCGAAAACCACTGACTTGATCGTACTTTCTAGAGATCAAATGAAAAGCATCGATTTTCTAGGCGATCTTCCACGTCTATCCGGGCTGCCGCTGTGACACAGAGACTATGGTGCTTGGTTGTTCATCCAAAAGATGCGGGCTCGACCCGGTCACCGTGGTCGCATTTCTTTAGAGATGCAACGCTAGGGGCCCGCTTACTGCGCGACACCATTAAAAAGACCCTCCGGTGATAGAAATTTCCGGAGCCCTTCACTACGACGCGCCAGACAATCGTATTAGGGTTTGGGGACGTAAAACGCCAAGAATTAATTCATCATTATTTCATGTTTTTCTTCCACGCTGTCTAAAGAGTAAAGAAAGCTGCCAGAACGTAACCTCTACATCACCGCGGTGGACTCAATGTTCCATGACTGCTGTATAAAAGAAAACGCGTTCGGCCTTTAATTAGATTACCGAGGACCAATGACAGTGCTTGTCGCTATCATTGTGTTTTTTTGGTATCATTTCCTGGACACAAGTTCACCGGAATAGAAAGTTTCCTCTTGAACACGCCTACTAATGCCTTTTGCATCGTCACAATAGTTTATTCATCGTATATATGTTATTTCTACTGGGAACCGCTACAAAACAGAGGTTTCAACAGATGCAGCAGTGAGACAACACTCGGATTGTGAAAATCCTGTATAGCATTCGGCCTGTGATAGTGCAACACGTAATGTGACGTTGTGCCGACAGCGACATGTTTATTTATTTATTTATTTATTTACTATCACCTCACAGGTTCTTAGCTACATCAGAGCATTGTGTGAGGCGGTAACATAAGTAGGGTAAGAATAACATGTGCCGCAAAACAAGCACGTGCAGGTGTATTTTGCTTATAAAGTTCGCACTGAATCCAATACAAGTTTGTTAATTCGTATTTGACTACCGAACTACGAGCTTGATTGTGAATGGATTGTTGAGCTTTACCCAGAGGCACTTTCCAGAACTGACTTGATTGTTATTCAGCGCCTAGCACTGTCTGCCGTTCATGGGTAGTAGCACGCAGTAAAGCCATCCACCCACCCACCTATTAACTAACTAACTAACTAACTAACTAACTAACTAACTAACTAACTAACTAACTAACTAACTAACTAACTAACTAACTAACTAACTAACTAACTAACTAACTAACTAACTAACTAACTAACTAACTAACTAACTAACCAACCAACTAACTAACTAACTAACTAACTAACTAACTAACTAACTAACTAACTAACACACTCACTCACGCACGCACGCGCTCATGCACATGTACACACACGCACACTTGCACACAACACCACCACCACCGCAATACACCACACCATACCATGTCATGCTTTACAGTCAAAACTACCTCTTTTTATAAAACGCTTAGAAAGCTAGTTTTAATGATCATACGTTTATAATTGTAGGCTTCATAGTCATGAAGCTGGATTTATGGGGTTCTAAAATTTAGGGATTGTAGAACCTGGCGTGACTAATTACAAGTTATTACTTACTTGTAGCTTTGGCGACAGCACCCATAATCATGGCAGGGATAGCCATGATGATACACCCGAAAGCAGCTACATAGGAAAGCAGCTGCGCCTTGAAGGCAGTTTTGCAAGAAAGGACCCGCTGAAAGTAGACCTGCAAGGAAAGGTACGACAGAGGTTGTCCACGATCATCTTTTGCGGAACTACGAGAAAATAAGCTGCATTCACAGGCTTTTTAAGGTACTGTTCCCTCTTTTGTAACCAATTTATGTTTGACAATAAGCCCAATTTCTTTCGCTTTTTGGTTCTGTTACTATTCGACAAATATGCGATCGTTTTGCCCAACACAGAAAACAGGTATATCTGGAAGAACGAATGACAACCTTACCTGCCATGGGATTCCTCCGAGAATGAGCAGCAATCCAAAGTCGATGTATTGTCCAATGTGCTTCGGTTGCAAGGAACCGACCCAGTCATTCGTCGGGTACGTTAGCGTACCCACTGACTCGTTGAGCATGCAGAATGGGATGCACAACCACTGCGAAAAGAAAAAAAAAAGAATGTTAGCTTGCAACATCACCGCGGTTGGAAAAATACATGTAGGGTGCTTCAATATGAAAACCAATCTCGCTTTGTTTTCTTAACAAATAGCGCAAGTAACACCTTCAAAGCACAGCCTTGCTGCGCAATTAGAACAAAGTGCTATGCAATGGTAAGCGAAGAACTTGAAAAAAAAATGTTTTTGAGGGTAAACTGCAAGCCACTACGTTGCACAACTGGGAATGAATTGATTCACAAAGCTCATAGTTTAGAAGTGGTTTTATTGGGATATAATATACAGTGAGATTCCAAACTGACATACACCGTCAGCGTCAACGTCGTGATCCGTACAATGTCTATGAACCGACGCATCCTCTGTTAAAGGAAACACTGGAGTGCACAGCATGTTTGGATTTCGCTATGTTACGGAAGCATAGTAACTTAAATATGCATAAGACTACTGGTTGTTTAACGTTCTGACTTCTCTTGACACACTGCCCCGCCGTGGTGGTCTAGTGGCTAAGGTACTCGGCTGCTGACCCGCAAGTCGCGGGTTCGAATCCCGGCTGCGGCGGCTGCATTTCCGATGGAGGCGGAAATGTTGTAGGCCCGTGTGCTCAGATTTGGGTGCACGTTAAAGAATCCCAGGTAGTCAAAATTTCCGGAGCCCTCCACTACGGCGTCTCTCATAATCATATGGTGGTTTTAGGACGTTAAACCCCACATATCGAATTCTCTTGACACACTGCTTATGTGCATGCAGGTTGTTTTCATAACTACTTGCTGTTAGAGGGCCAGTAATATTGATGATGTGCATTCGAGTGTTCCCTTTAACAGTGGGCGGTACTGTGCATTAGTCTATAGAAGCTGTGGGGTTGTGAGAGAGCATGCAAGACAGCACGCCTTCTTCACGCACCTAATTGGCGAAGGGGCACGATAATGAACTTTACGTATTTTCTGTGTACATGTCACCTTCTGTACTGTCTGTTGTGCGCTGTCCGAGAATGATGCACCGTATATTGCAAGTAATAGGCGGCGGCCCTAAGGGTATCGCGCTACAAAAGACAACTTGCCCCGATTTTGTGAGGCCAATGGCGCATTCGCAGCATGTGATATGTTGGTTAGTTTTTTCTGGCAGCTTTCTTAAAAATGAATCCTGCACTGACTGACGTGGCATGACGCCAGGCGAGACTCCCATTTCCATTGCGCCTATGCGACACATTTTATTACGCACACTCAGTAACGACCGAATTTCTCTATCTTCCGTAAATTCCCAATATCATGGTTGTCACCAAATAACATAAAACGATACAGCGAAAAGAGGCAAGCTATACTTAAACAAAAAACCAGAAAGTAAAAAGTTCTACTGAGGCGAGAATATCAACGATGCATGTACGTGAACAAGAACAGAGTTACAACTCACCAGTCCAATGAATATGCAGAATAGCTGGATGACATCCGTATAGGCCACCGAGTAAAGCCCTCCAAAGAACGTGTAGAAGAGCGCTATGCACGCCGATGCAATGATTGACGTGTTAGTATCGATGTCGATGATCACACCCACAGTGGCACCTGGTGAAAAGCAGATAAAGAGCCAATTATCGATGTAAAACATCGCCTGAGTGCTTGCAGGGAGCGCCACTCGACCATGGAACTTGCCTGGTGTTCGAAGTGTGCGCCATGGCGCTTGACATATTGCCCCTTAAAACTCCTAGCTGTGTACGTACATTGCTGTTTTTTTAAATTAAAGGGTTTAATGATTAATTCACAGCTCCGACGAGATCATGTGAAATCAAACTCTACTACTTTCACGCTTCGAGTCATCCAATTTCAGGCACTGTTCACTTCTTCACACATGACTGTCTTTCACGCGTAATTACGTCATACATACTACGTGTGCTGTCAATAATCCGTGAGCCAAAGTTCTGAAGAAGTAAAACCTTAACTAGATTACATCCAGACATTTAATAAGTGAGTGAGCGATTGAGTGAGTGAGTGAGTGAGTGAGTGACAGGCGTGGTGAAATACATACACAGAAAAAAAAATGTAACCAATAGATATTCTTTGTACTTTCACGCGGTTGTCGGGCTTATGACGCTTTACAAGAACTTATCTCCTGTACGAATGACTGAAAACCGCATATGTATAACCCTTCGACAACGTAAGAGGGGACAATGAGACAAAAATGTTTGGGGATGCTAAAGCTTCGCCTTAAGTAGTTGAACGCAATAGCCATATCATGTTTCTAGGGCGTAATTCAAGCACTTCGTGCATGAAATATTTTCGAACTTGCGATGTACCCACTACATGGCCTTAAGGGAATAGGCAAAATATAGCGTGTGTACCTCTTGCAGAGGTTACCGGCCTTAAACCACGAATCCATTATAAATCACGATGTTATGACGACCGCTGGCAATGGGCGCTTGTGCCCCGTATTATTTGTGGAATATTTCATGTTGCATTGTAAAGCATGGGTACAGGACGCATGTGTTTATACAACCATGAAAGTTACTTTCACTGTATTTCCAAGCAGAGGAAGTTCTTTTGCCTGTATTCACAAGCAGACGCTGGCTGTGTTGTAGAACGTCCGCTTGTCCCACTAGTGACTCTGGTTCGATCCCTATTCTGACGCAAACGACCCTGGTTCGGTCTTCATTCTGACCCAGAATTTTTGAATCATTAATTTTATTTGCATTGTTCCCGATTTTTCAGTCACGCAAAAGTTGATGATTTTTCGCTCACAACCAACGACGCCGACGCCTGAATTTCTGCGAAATGAACTCTTTCTCGTTAAAACGGCAAAGTGAGATGTATACATTGCCTGGCATGAGACTTTATTACGGAGAATTGTGGTCGATTTTCTGACTGCTCGCATGCATAGCCTTATGGCTCAAAGCGCATAGGCACAAAGTTATCGAAGAAGTGTCGACTTTACACCATTTCACATCGATATATTTGCATGTACAAGCCACTGCTTATGACGCCGACGCGTTAGAAATGTCATCTTATAAATACCGTAAACTACATGGTGTTACCCAATAGAAGTGTAATAATTTTAAAACCAGTGTACCGGTTCCGCAGCGTATACAATCAAATGGATATACACGCGCGAAGAACACCTACGTAGAGTCACCGATCATTAAAAAGAGCGCAAAAACAAAACGCAGGGACAAAATACAGTACTATAGTGCTGTTACCTTATACGTGTCTTCTATTCTCCAAAAAGGCTTGACCTGAACGTCTGTGCTTCCTCATAATTTCGACATTTAACTTGCGAGATCACAGCGAAATCTGAAGAAACGCTCCAGTTAGTTATTTCGCACAAACATTTCCGCCATGTGACGATGACGAAACATTGCTTCTTTAATATTTACTTAAGCATCAAAGAAAACTTCGGCTAGCAGAGCTTTACACGTGCATAGGAATGAAGAGCAGGATTTTCAAACCCCGATCGCACCGTTTATCTGATCGAAAAACCTTTACGTATGCTTTCGAGATTTAAGAGAACAACTTATGCTGCGTTTGGGAAGTGCATCTATAGAAGAGAATGCTCACCAAGCGCTGCCAGAATCGCTGCGGACCAGAACACTTCTCCGCACAGCGCTGGGATGAATAGCAAGCCGCCCATTCGGCCACCGAAGAGCTCTTGAAACGGGTCTAACATGGTCACGTAACCTTCGGCTCGCATTTTGTTGGCGAAGAAGTAGCCACCTGGAACATCAAAGACAAAATGAACAGAGATTAGTGAACCATTCAAGAATGGTACGCTAGCTCTGTACCAAACCTAGCAGTAGCTGAAATTATTTAAAATTTGGACAAATGCATAGTACTATTTTGTGGGCGGGCTTTCTGAATCGAATAAAAAAATCATACATCAGCTTTGAAACTTTATTTCTATCTTCATGGTAATTTAGGTTCATTGAAATGCTGTCATCGCGATATTTATTTTTTTTGCTATAACAAAAAAGGCATACAGTCCCTAGACAGGACACTGGCAAACTTTATCAGGAGACGAAAAATTTTAAGAGAGAACTCATGAAAGCCTCAAGTGCAACTGACACAATAGAGCTAGTGGAGCTTTCAAGTTAATCAATAGGCGCAAGGTAGCCGACATCAGAAGGTATAACATTGAAAGAATTCAGCAGGCTGTAAAAAAGACAGCAGCATAAAAACTACGAACGCTAACTTATGCATACGCAAAAATTGGATGTGTGCATTAATGGACAAGGAACGCATTGCCATAACCAATATGGATAGGATAGTTGGAGCGGCGGAGGAGTTCTACAGAGAGCTGCACAGAAGCCGAAACAACCAGTATGATATCGTAAGAAGCGATAATAGCCCAGAGGAATTCGAAAGGCTACCAGTAACGACAGGGGAAGTAAGGATAGCCCTAGAAAGATTATAAAGAGGCAAAGCTGCTGGTGAGAATAAGGTGACAACAGACTTGCTGAATATCGATGGCGGATAAATTGTGTTAGAAAAAACTGACCACTTTGTATACGCTGTGTCTCCTGACGGGAAGTGTAGAATGTTGGAAGAGCACCAAGATCATCCTAATCCATAAAAAAGAAGACGTGAAGGACTTGAAAAATTACAAGCCGATCAGCCTACTGTTCGTTCTCTACAAGTTATTTACAAAAATAATAGCTAATAGAATTTAGGCGACATTAGAGTTACGTCAACCAAATGCCCAAGAAGGATTCATACAGGCTACTTCACAACCATATTCATACTATAAATCAGGTAACAGAGCAATGCGCGGAGTACAATCAACACCTATACATAGCTTTCATAGATTACGAGAAGGCGTTTGACTCAGTCGAGACATCGGCATTAATGCAGGCACTAGGGAATCAGTGCATCGACGAACCTTACATAAACATATTGGAAAAAAATCTACAGCGCATTTACAGCCACCATAGTTCTCCATAAAGAAAGCGACTGAATCCCAATAAAGAAGGGTGTAAAGGCAGGGAAACACGATATCTCCAAGTTTCACTGTGTCTTTACGGGAGGTTTTCAGGGCCCTAGATTGAAAAGAGTCAGGAATAAAAGTTAATGAAGAGTACCTTAGTAATCCGTGATTCACTGATGACAGTGCCTTGATGAGGAACTCAGGGGACGAATTACAGCTCACGATTTCTGAACTGCACACGGAAAGCAGAAAAGTAGGTCTGCAAGTAATATGCACAAAACTGAAGTAATGTGCAACAGTCTCGGCAGAAAACATTGCCTTGAGATAGGTGGAGAGACACTGGAAGTTGTAAATGAATATGCCTATACTTAAGACAGGTAGTAACCGAGGATACAAACCATGAGAGTGAAATTACCAGAAGAATAAAGATGAGGTGGATCTCATTCAGCAATCATTCTCAAATCATTAATAGTACTCTGCCACTGACCCTGAAGAAGGAAGTTAACAGGTGAATCTTGCCGGTACTTATCTGCAGAGCAGAAACCTGGAGGCTTGCAAAGGGGGTTCAGCTTGAATTGAGGACGATGCAGCGAACAATGGAAATGAAAATGATGGGTATAACTTTGAGAGACAAAAAGAGAGCAGAATGAGTCTGGGAACAAACGAGGGTTAAGGATATGATAGTTGGAATCAAGAAGAAATTAACATGGGCTGGGTACGTAGCACGTAGGCAGGATAACCGCTGGCCATTAAGGATAACTGAGTGGATTCTCAGAGAAGGCAAACGCACGAAGGGGAGACAGAAAGTTAGGTGGGCCGATGAGATTAAAACGTTCACGAGTATAACGTGGCAGCAAAAAGCACAAGCCGGGTTGATTGGCGGATCATGGAAAGGTGCCCTGCAGTGGGTGTAGTCAGGTTGATGATGATGATAACTGATTTAGATAAAATCGATTCAGTCATTGCTGAAAGTGACTATTCTTACATTACACATGTTCTCGAATTTGGCGGTCCACTGCTGTCTTGACAGCTCTAAATGAAAATACAACGAACCGCTGAAACTGCGAGGCGGAGGCAACTATGGTCGCTATATACCGAAAGAAGAGAATCATGTCTCTTACACAAGTTCACGTTCCGGGCTTGTATGGCGCCGAGTTTTTTTACAGCCATTTGTACCGGCAATGCAGGTGCGATCGTACTGCTGTGTACGGGGCTATAATTATATTCATGGGAACACTTTAGTAAAGAAAAGGGCGGGGGATGACCTTGATAACAAAGGGTTGTGCATTGAACGAGGGGATTAAGTTATGGCGCAGCGACGCCATAAGAGCGCAGCTGCATGGCCCTGCTTTCCTTCCTAATTAACAAGCCATCTATCAGAGCTATGCCGAAGCTGGAAGTGTGTGGGGAAACTTCATTAGGAACGATGGCAACTGGAACGGGCAATTGGACCAGTTTGTGATTTCCGTATACGCGCATGCGGGGAACACCACCAGGCAATCAATATGAGAACGTTAATGGTAATAACGACCAATGGAAAACGAAGATACTATCGCAGAAAGCTTATCTTGTTGGCACGCATTCATGAAAAAACAAGGTAATATATAAACACTAAAACGGGCACCAGCAAGTTGCTTTTTAACAATAATTCACATAATTTTTCAGCGGCATTTTTGAGCCCAATACAGCACAGACACGTCTTGCGCAAAGCGCGTCGAGTGATCTTGTCGTAACGATCACGTTTTATTTGACTGAGTTTACCGTAAATAAACCCGGGAAAACGTTTTGTTAATTTTCCTCCCAAAAGTTCATTTAGCAGTAAAGGAGCTGTGCGTAGAAAAAGTACGCGTATTTATTATTTTCTCGAATGGTTAACTTTTTTTTATCTAACACTTTCTAGAGAATCGCACTATAATCATTTCTACGTTATTAATGATTTGCCTTCTTGGGCCTTCGCGTAACCGAAGCGATGATGAACCTTTTAAATTCCCGGCTCTTCTTCGTGTGAACTGGACTATTTTTTTCATTTTAATCATTCCGTTGCGTAAATTTTTTTAGATACCGCAGCTTTTGCAAAAAAAAATAGTGATAAACAATCTCTGACGAGTCCCGCTGGCACTACGAGTGTCGGAACGTTTTCTAAATTTATCCCGTACGACTTCTTTGTGCTCACCTAGACATTTCCTCCCATGACCTGAAGGACGCCACATAATGGTCCTGTTCACGTGTGTCCCCCTTTTTTTGTTCGGTCACTTTCCACTTTGATAGGTATTTAATTAGAGCTTCATTGAATCAGCAGTGCTAATGACGTGTCCAAAATAAGAAGGTTACATATACTTCATAAAAAATGTGCCAATAGCCCTTTTACCTCAAAAGTTTCCGAAAAAAAAAGGTCGCGGAACATGAAAAAAAAATTGCCCGCAGCTTCCCTCGGGGGAACACTGAGGAGGATGCGGAGCATATAATTGGTTAACGGGGTGTTAAAGTGCGACTTACTTGGGTCGATGGCTAAATTGGTTAACGTGACTGTGAAATGGGGTGTTAAATTGCGACTTACTTTGGTCGATGGCTAAATTGGTTAACGTGGTTGTAGGAGGGGGTGTTAAATGAGTGAACACGTACACACACGTATGCGAAAGGGCGGCGCTGGTCGAAGGGACGTCGATCATTGTGTTTGTGGATTCGTTGGAATTCATTTCACCGCGACCTTGGACGTCGACGCGCCGTACAAACCAACCGACGAGCGGCAACTGAGCGAGCGAGCGCCGACCTTGAGTATATATACAGCGCGACGGCGCATGCACTGTCAGCTGTCGAATGTTTGAGAAGGGGGAGAAGCGCAACGGCGCATGCGCGCGCGTCAGCTGCCGATGTTCTCGAAGCGCGACGGCGCATGCGCGCGCGTCAGCTGCCGATGTTCTCGAAGCGTGACGGCGCATGCGCGCTACATTATACAGCTAGCGAATGTTCGTGAAGAGGAGAAGCGCACGCGGTGTGTAGAGGAGGAAGGGTGCACAGATGGTGGAGGAGTGAAGCGCGCGCGGTGTGTAGAGAAGGAAGGGATGCACAGATGGTGGAAGAAGGAGGAGGAAGCTTGCGGACGGCGCCGCACTACAAGCCTCGAGTATTAGATGCTCCGCATCTAAAAAAATTGGCCCCGTATCTGCATGTTACGCTGCAAATGTCGTCGAAAGACTATAGTCTTGCGTCTGGAGAGAGTGAACAAAACGTTTATTTGATGTTTTGCGCGAGAAAAATCGGTGAATGGTATTCTGGACGCACTGCGTTAGAGTGCCTCGAGCGTGCAGCGGAGGCGAACGAGCTCATCAAGTCGCATCACACGTGAGACATAAGCGCTATCTGGGAGCTATCTTGAAAAACGAAGCGCGCGGCGTGCGAGCTCGTCTCGGAGGCGATAAGGTGTAGAACGCAAGGCAACGGGTAGGTGCCACCACCATGTCGCCTTGGCAAAGCGTTGGAAACACTCGCCTTTTCGTGCAAGCGTTTCATGGTCAGCGCAGCGTGATAAGCGCTACGGTCCTTAAAATTACTTATGTACGCCTTTTCTAGTAAAAAGACGCACATACAGAATATTGAAGTGTTGTTATAGTGTCGCAGATATGCGCAATAATTCTATTTTAATTGACCATCGCACAAGTACGAACGATAAATCGGAAGTAATATTGATGGGCGCTGCGGATGTGGTCGGCCGTTTAAAGTATCGTTTGGCGCCGTTTAGGGTATCGTTAAAGGCGGACAGACACATGTACAGACAGACAGAGTGTATCTTGTGTATCTTTCTTGTTTGAAGTTAATAAACTTCCCCTTGTATTGACAGACACCAAAACTTTTATGTCGAAGGTCTCCAAGAAAGACTATCGTCTTTAAAAAAGAAAGAAAAATAAAGGGGTGGGCTGAAGAGTAATTGGTGATCGTCAAGCCCTCTTAAACCGAGATAAGCTTCTTTCAGGCGCGTGGAGATTGAGACCTGCTCGCCTTCCTGCTAAGACCTTCCTACTAAGCCGAAGGAAACACTTTGACGGCTATCTTTGTTGGTGGATAGGTATGTGACGGAGACATTTTTGTAGTGCTTTGAAGCAGTGGGATAGGAAGCTGGCTCCTATTATTGATTCCATACGCACGTACAGTTTTGCCGTGACACTGCAGAGGCCGTTTTTTTCATTTTTTTGCCAGACCCCTCAAAAACCGGCGTAATCACGCAGGATTATTCTCAATTGTGTCGAGTGTCCTCCACTAAAACTCATTTTTATTTTTTTACTCTTGCTTTCACTTTCTCTTTCATGCTGCTCTTTCAAATTGCACGCATGATGAAGGCAGATTTATGGCTGTAGGAAAAGCGATATATAAGCCTGATACATTTCAGTGATCTCACGTGCACGGATGGTTCTGTGCTTTACAAAATATCTTTGTGAGTTTTAGCACGACCCGTCTAAGCTTGAAGAGCGATATGTGTGACATGAGGCACGTACCCTGTCGGTACGCAGAAATCGCGAGAGTGAGGTGTAAACGAAGTAAGGTAAACACTTGGTATTGTGGGCGAGTTCATTTGTCCCCATAAAGGCGATGGAGAGCCATTATAGTAAACAAACAAGTGATTCACATGATAGGTAAATTACATTTATTAGTTTGGTTTCCAGTGTCTCTCGAGTAGAATTACATTGTTCCCTAAGCACTTTCGCTCCCCGTTTGACGCCGCGCATGCTACTCGTGCTTAGACTAAATACACATACGCATAAATAGACAAAAAAGTGGACAGCAGCCATCTTGAGTCTGGTTTTGGTCTGAAAGAAGCCCGGAAATAAGACAGCTGATAAGCCGTAAAGCCGCATTGAAGCCGAGCAAAATGACCGAGTAGCGACGGTCGAAGAACGAGATATGAGAGCGTACCGCTCGCTGGGAATCGAATAACTGGTGTTTTCGACAAAGTAGTGTGATTTTGGATGTTAGTGCTAACGAGTGGTTTGATTTATAAACCGCTATACGTTCGCACAGGGGACCACTTTGGCGTTTATACAATCCAAATGAGATGACGGCTGATCTGACCGACTTGACGTTCGACCAATTCGTACGACAAGGCCAGATGCACACAAAAAAAAGGAGTCACTGCTTTCTCATGCATCTAATAAGCGGTTCCACATTTTCTTTTTTTTTTTAGGTTCGAACTTGCAAATAGGTACAATACAGTGGAAATGTAGGTATTTTTTTGCTTTGTTTTATCGACGTATAGTGGCTTTGGCGCTGTCTTCCAGATAAGGTTTCTTGATCGATGGGCTTTACTTCAAGATGCGTTCGTTTACTTGCGCTCACAGCTGTCTCCTTAGCAGTCCGGGTGTTCTGTTGACCAGAAATGGCTTCGATGGCGTTGCCTGTGTGACTCGTCTTCGTGCGGCATGATTCGACACTGCTATAGTGTGATGCTAGTGGTTCGAGTACAACTCTGTCGATATACTCTGTACTGGGAAAGATCTCTGACGGCGTACTCACCCACGACTAAACTCATCGCGTAGCCAACGGGAGCTTGGCACCAGATGATGCCGTTGCTGTAGACAGCTTCGGCGGTTCCGTTTATGTACCCTCCTCCAACCCAAGTGGCTGCAAAAAAAGAAAAAAAGATTCTGAGATTGAATGACATTCTGAATAGTCGCTTAAGTAGACAACTTTGTTTTCTTACATTTAAACATTGAGCGCGTGTTGAGAAAAAATGATTTGCAGTTGACTAAACATAAAAGGTATTTTGTAAGGTTCAACTTCATTTTTCGATCTATCATGATCCGCGCAGACTGCGTGACCGACGCCTCCAAAAATTGCGGTATTGGCGCTTCCGCATCGCCACCAGAATCACTTGTGCCTTGCACAGCAGGCAATCAGCCACTGCGTTTCGTTCTGCAGGAGCTTCATACGGGAACCAAAGCTCCACGAAAAATGAGCGCACATGACCGCACGTTATCTTCGACGAACAGACTCGCTGACTTTGAAACTTAGGAGGAAAAAACAACAAAAAGGAATACTATGGGACTTTCGGCGGGCTGCAAGTGCATGATTATGAAGATAGCTTTAGCAGAAGGCCCCAGAATAATGTTAATCACTAAACTGGTGAGCTGGGCTTGTTGGCAATTCTGAAAAAATGTAGACAAAAACAAAAACAAAAAATGAACAGAACACAAATGACGATGACGAGCGCTGACTTTTTAGCGCTCGTTGTCGTCGCCATGAGAGTTTTGTACGTGTTTTTTAAACTTGTTTTCAGCTATAGTGCGTGAAAGTTTTAACCATTTTGAATTCTAAAAGGTGTACATATATAGTTGGTTTAAGCCTAAGGATAAATATACAATTTTTACCTTCTACCATCATTGTCGCACCCACAGAGAATTTGCATAAAAGTTCTATTCAATCTCATTCGCTCCTGTCACATTGCCAGATACATTTAGGTGTTTTAGATAGTTGCTGTACCCATACATGCACATGTTCAAATCAGTGGTATCAAGCCAAGCTTGAACGTCTTGGCTATTGTTATCAGAGATTCGCATATTACCACTTAGCCAAATGTTATATTCTAAGCAGTGACGTTGAATCTTAGGTTTCTGATTGGCGTTGTACTTACATTAGCCTAAAGATTGTCTATGGTTCGAAAGGAAAGCAGTTTGCACAACTCACACATTGGGGATCGACAAGCACGCCACGCTTTTGAGAACGAAGCTTGTACTTATTTGTAATATGCAGCCAGGTATAAATCTAAATATGTGGTTATTTTTTCGTCATTTGAAATTATATCTTTCTAGTAATGAGCATACACAGGAAACAGGTTTACGAGTCATCTTATTGCGCTAATAAACTGAACATTTTGGCCTTTTTTTTAGCTGCGTTAACTTGTGCTCGGAGTATCTGCGGCTGCGATCTTGCTCGCGCTTACCCAAACGAGAAGCCATGTCGTGAACAATGCACTCGATTTGCGCCGACACCTTCGACGCAGATCAATCGCATGCTAGAAAAGAAATGGAAAAGAAAGAAATAAAGAAAGAAAGAAGAAAGAAAAAAAAGAAAGAAAGAAAGAAAGAAAGAAAGAAAGAAAGAAAGAAAGAAAGAAGGAAGGAAATTAAACACAACAGCATCGCGTTACGGTATTCCAGCAAAGAAAACAGGATCGTAACTAACATGTTACAGTAATACCCCTTAAATTATTGGTTTTATGACATGCGTAATTCATTTATTGTATTGCTCACGGTCATTTTATTCACAACTAAAACATGATCACAATAAACACAAAATTTCGAATAGCAGTGTTTGAATTGAACGGTTGAACAAGATGAAAAAAGTCTACGAAATGTCACAATGCATTCCTCTAATGTGAATAAATTCTGTATGAACACGTCACAATAGAGTACAAATACTACTGATATATAGATATGTGGGGTTTAACGTACTGAAATTGCCACATGATTATGAGAGACGATGTAGTAGAGGGCTCCGTAAATTTTTACCACCTGGTGTTCTTTAACGTACGCCCGAATCTTCGCACACGGGCCTACAGCATTTTTGCCTACATCAAAAATGCAGCCACCGTAGCCGGGATTCGATCCCGTGACCGGCAAATACTACAGAAATATTATGTACAACATATTTGATATTACTATCTGAGGATGGGCAGCATTTTTTGTCTACCATTTTAAGACCCACTATTGCATTTTAACACTGACAATTATTAGCAGAAAAAAAAAACACATGTCAGTGCTTCTTTAACGCAAAAGAATGCGACGAATTCGCCGTCATCATGAACAAAAATAATAAACCGAAATTTTGCTGCTCCTATATACCAGAAGGGCTCGTTATATTCTTATCAGCTACGTTTCTCTTTCATATGGCTGATATTGGTATACGCATTGCGACTAGCTCACAGCTGCAATTGATGTGAACGTAATGTGTACGCAATGATTTACATGGCCGGGGTGACCTTGCTGGAATGCATTCCTAAGTATCGTAGTGACATGTAGACTTCAGCTCCTACTCGGAGGAACGAGCAACGAGACGCGTTTCTAGTCCGCGTGACGACGCACGAAAACAGCGACCCTCCTGTCACGGCCTTCCTGTTTCCTCCAATCCAGCTCATGCAGAAAAGATTGTTGCGAGAATCCGTGCGGTATGTATCCATGGGCGCGTGGCAAAGTCAGATGTAATGGGAGCTTCTAGCTTCCGCATAAAGAAATTGTACAGAGAAATACACCTTTTGCAGCACTAAAAAGAAACAAGCAAAAATAAAATAAAAAGAAAATACATGTCTTGTTTCAGTGCAATATTAGGTGGGACTATTAGCTCTGGAACTGTGTAACTACTTTCCATCATTGTATAGGTGGCCGAACGTCGAGCCTAAGTGCACGAAAATGTGGCAACTAAATAACAGTGCTGTGTGTTTAATGAGCTACATGAACAACTAAGGCGGTGGTTGCGCTCAGTCTTTAGCCCGGCGAGTGTGCATTCAGGCATAACAACGTTTTCGACAAGGGGAATCAAAGCATGAAGAAATTGACCCTAAAGGTCTGCTTCTTCTACTTCTTCACACACACACAAAAATTCTTGAAGACTTCTTGGCGATCTACAGGTCACACGCGTTTAAAAAAATTATTTAGTAGGTCATAAGACACGGCATGTACTCTTATTACAGGAACATGATATGGACTACGAAGGAGTTTAATAATGTTAACAATTTCATTTGAAAAACATTAAAAAAAAACAAAATTGGGCTGCTCGTTATAAGAACAACCCGGCCCCTGTTCACAATTGCTCCTGACACTAGAATTGCTCGTACGAGAAGAATTCGTCCGCATATTTGTGAAGCGCACTTGCATTATTTTCTTTTTTTGTGTGAAACGCTTCAAGAAAAAAAAAACAAGTCTAAACTTTTCCTTGCTTTTACTGACGGTCTTAACATAATAAAAACTCGGCTGACTGGAGCGGTATTTATGATGCACGAAAAGATGCGCAGTCGTACCCCGCTTCTATTTATTAGCACGCTTCCTTATTCAATCAATAAATAACTCTATAACTTACCACTCAATGTGTATTACACAGTACTCTTCACAAGAAAGGAAAATTTCGCACACCGCTCCTGCATGCGGCGGGCTGCACAAGAGTCTCGGTGTGCTCCCCTTGGCAGTCAATCTTAGAGCAGCCCGTGATGCCGAGACATGAGTCCGCCACGTTTAGCTGCTTTACTTTTATGTGGTTGTTCAACAATACGCCTTTGTGTAAGCACGAACTATGGGCCAAGCAACACATCATTGCTACCGATCGTAGACGAATAATGTAATCTTAGGTTTGCTACACTGTTTCTGATCGCAAGCTGCCGGGAACATTTCAACTCTAGGCGGAGTTTCCCACATGTGCGCTCACTCGCCTGTCATGGTGAATATTCCGACGAAGACGCCTATGTTTCTCCCGGCTAGCATGACCTCGTCAGCATCGCCGGGTTCGTTGCTGGTCTTCTTGCTCTTGCGACCGGCCCAGATTCCGACCACTAAGATGAGGATGTAGAAGATCACCACGGACACCACGCCCGCAATGTTGATGGCCATGGCGCCTCGCTTGGTCGGTGGAACTCCGCACGTCGATCGTCGCTTTCTCAAGAGTCGGCGGAGTTCGTGCTGCAAAAGATATAAAAAAAGACTGAATGACTCAAACCCAATCTTACACCGTATTTTTCATTAGGAACACGTGAGGGACATTGTACAAGCACGCCCCCCCCCCCCCCCCCCCCCAAAAAAAAAACGTAAGGTACACAATCTTAATGAATCCTACAAAGCGTTTTATACGCGTTTCATTTACTAAGTACACCACGAAAAAAAATAGTATGCGTTATTCTTGTCACGCATATGTGGCTTTCTTCAAAGCGGCAAGTTAAGTCTCTTTTCAGCCCTACGACGCTCTGACGAGAGTTAAATAACTTCAAAAAATAGTTCACGTATTTCTTCAAAGAGGCCCTGCTGCAATCTTGTAGCATTGTCAGAAAACGCTGCATATCACTGGTCGGGGCTCGCAAGAACAAGGGAGCCAAATATTATAGCGCAGCACGTGGGCTGGAATTTACAATTAATTTTCAAAGTCCTTTAGAAATCGTATCCTCTTCTTTCCAAAAATGATGCCTTATACCAAAATTCACAGCCATTGGGTGATTTGAACATCGTGGGCTGCATATTTACTGCGACCGCTACAGAAGGGCGCCACGTGCACATGTTGCGCTTGCCATCGTACTGTAAGCAAGGGGCGTGTTATCTTGATTTGACAGCTACAATGCATACGCGTCATAAGTTGCACGCTTTCGACGTGTGATTCACAAACGTTCACCAAAGAACATTACGGTTAATAATTGACTCAAAATACCACAATTATCAAAACTAAGGTAACCTCGTGTAAAACAGAGACTAGAGCCTTCGTAATATTTTTTAAACTCTAGGTTCAAATACTGCACTCACAAACCTGTCACTACAAAATGGGTTGTGCACCGAAAGCATGTAAGTATCGGTGTTGAAATCTACATCTCCAAGAAAAGTTTACGCAAACGCAACACTTGCATTTGTTGTTAGTCATGAAGCTGCATGCAGTCGTAAACCCAACTTCATTTATTACAAGGCCCCGCCGCGGTGGTCTAGTGGCTAAGGTACTCGGCTGCTGACCCGCCGGTCGCGGGTTCAATTCCCGGCTGCGGCGGCTGCATTTCCGATGGAGGCGGAAATGTTGTAGGCCCGTGTACTCAGATTTGGATGCAAGTTAAAGAACCCCAGGTGGTCAAAATTCCCGGTGCCCTCCACTACGGCGTCTCTTATAATCAAATGGTGGTTTTGGGACGTTAAACCCCACAAATCAATCAATCATTTATTACAAGATGAAGACAGGAGCCGATTTATGTGATACAGCTTCAGCCCAGTAAAAAGAGAGTATGACGGGAGTTTCCAGAAAAAAAAAATGCTTATCCGGCATTCAATATAGCGTCGGTAGTCTCGTAGAAGCTTGGGCTGCATCAAGGTCACTTTAGGAATAAAAAGAAGAAAAATAATCTTTAGCTGTTTTAAGATTTTCTTTACTTTTGGGTTCTCTCGTTGGTGCTGATTATTCCAAAGCTATTCGGTATTTCGAATATTTTTGAATATTTACTATTTAATTCAAGTACAGAATCGAATACAACACCATGCGATTAGTTATTCGATATTTTTGAATATTTGCACACCTCTACTTATTTTAACTGAGGACGGCAAAAGAAGTTTAGTTGCATCAGCCACGTTTACTTTTACCTGCTTGATTATTCACAGTTATTTTTACAATGTTTCAATAATTTGACCACTTGTTAAAAATTCGACACCAGCCTTGAGCTACGGGATCTGCTTTTGTGTGTACATACACCATACAGTTCGCTTAAACAAAGTTCCCAGCTTGAACAAAAACGAATGAAGAAACTTACATTCCCGTACACGATGGTTCGTTTTCATTTATAGAACGCCGTTGTGCATTGCCCTCTAAGATTGGCTAGACGTTACTAAGGAAGCGGAAATTATTGCTAATTAGCTATGCGGAAACCAGCAAGGTGGCGGGAGGGTTAAAAGAGGGAAAGAAGGCAACCCCTCGTTTTTTGCATAAAGCCACAAAGAATTTCGTATGGACTTTTCAGAGAAAAATCCTCCTAGTTCCCTCTTAGTTTTTCGGCAACTAAGAGGCTGTTCTTTCTGAATTCCATATGAATTTCCTTGTGGCTTCGTGCAAAAAACGGGTGGTTGTCTTTTTTTACCCTGTCTTAGGCGGAAATTATGAGGCAGAAATTGTATGAAAATAAATGCAGCAAAATTATAGAAAGCAAGCCCTGTGCAACAGTAAGTGACAGGCAGGCGTAATAAGTTTCAGAGGCGTGCTGCATTACCGGTACATTTTTATCATTTCCAACGAAAACTATACTCTCTTGTATGAAAGCTATAGGGACACGACTTAGTACTTAAACTTTGTACTTAGACAAGACTTAGTACTTAGACAAGATTTAGTACTTAGACTCGTCTCTGAAGTTGCTGCTCCAACAATAAAATCCTACCACTTTTTTTTTTGTTTTCAAACGTGAAGACGGAAAGTGAAAAATTGAAATTCGAATGATTGACGTTTCTCAGGAACACTGTCTATAAAAAAGACTTTGTCATCCATTAAGCACCGTTCCACTTCTTGACAATAAAAACTGCTTATAATTATGAAAGAGCACAGTTCGAGCATGGTTCACTCCAAGAGCACAATAATTCACGCTACTGCTTGATGTCACTCAGAACATGCTGGGGAAAAAGTGTCTGAGAATGATATTCAGCCCCTCCCTTTTTTAAGAGCAGGTACGGAAGAACGTGAAGTGCTTAACTTTGCCTAGTCGCCATTTCTTGCAAAGCAAATAATACATTCCGCATGGCCACCACACAGAATGTTCATCTGTGCGCAAAGATATGTACCTGTTTTGCGCATAAATGAAATCCCAATGTCAGTACCTAAACAATCTTTTAAAAAATAAATACTTATGGATAGTTTTTAATACTGAAACGCTTGTTAGTAATGAACCACGTGGAACTCTTTCACACGTGGTGTTTTTTTTTCCTTCATCCCAATGTATGCAGTATCGTAGCTATCATCTTTCCTTTTTTTTTCTCTCGTGGAGAAAATGCTCGCCATCAATAATCGTGCACTAAAGGTTTACTGAAGTGTAGTAGCTGCATGCCATCCCAGGGTGCACATAAAACGTCTATTTATTGACCGACCCACTGCAACGCCAGTCATCAGTGACATCTGGAAATGCTTGGGGATACTTTTTATAGTAAGCCGTGTGAAAGATGAGAAATCTCTTTCCGAAACGTAGTGCTCTTAATAAGGACGCTATGTGACGACGCTGTACTCGTCTCGACTCGCATCGGCCGGTTCGTTGCCGACATAGATATTACTCTCATTGCATCATCATTTGGCCTGTCCGCTATCAAAACTTCCACCTCGTTGCAAAAGTTTTTCCCCTTCACAGGACATGACATCCCATTCTGCCATTACTTTTCAACACTGCACTTCCTGGGGCGTGCACGTTTTTCATTATAGTGTTCCTTCACTTCACTAACTCTAGCGAAATCCGGTCATTACATATTGCTGTATGGAATTATCGTATAAAGGACAGACCAAAAACGTGAAATCATCGAGTATCCTATGAATGCAGATGAAGAAAGGAACCCGACCAATAGTAGTGCAGACTGCATGGTTAAAATAAGTGCAAATGTTCAAGTGTGTAAGAATAATCTCCAAAGTTATGGGCACGTGGCTCTATTTTTCACATCATCTACGCATCCGAAATTCAGCGGTTGAAGAGCTTGTGCTGCATTTTAAATTCAAACTTATCGAATCGAGATTCGCCCAAAGTGTTCCAGCGGCCTCCGCTTTTGACGTTGAAAAAGATGTTCAGGGTTAACATACCATCATCGACGATTTTCCGCGAATGAGTTTCTTGTTTCTTCCAAGAGCCAACATATCGCCGCCACGTTGTTTGTGCTGTAGTTGCACATTGGACATCTGAGTCAAACCCACTACAAGGGATTCGACAGAAAATGGCTGGGTTATTCTAATCAAAATTTGACGACGGTTTTCAGTTAAATACTATTGAGATGATAAAATATATTTGAGAGTGTTATGAATATCAAGTGAAATACTCAGTCAATGCGTTTTAGTTTTTTTTCTTTCCCACGTTTATTCACTTAGGTGTGGTGCATTCCTACCAAAGGGATTGGCCGGAAGCCAATAAATAAAATATTAGCCAGAAATGGCAAATACTTAAGAGAACTAGACAACATATTACGCAAAGAAAATAGCGCACAGAGCAGAACAGGGCCCGGTGAAAGGAAAAGACCACAGTACTGTTATTTCGCACCAGTTCTGATGTTCATGACTTTATGGTTTGGCGGTATTGCACTAAGAGAATATATACAATAATTGTTGGGGTTTTACATCGCAAACCCATGATATGATTATTAAGGACATGCTTGCGGAGAAATCCGGAAATTTTGACCAACTGGTGTTATAAAGTGTCCATAAATCTAGGCACCTAAATCATTTTGCCTCTATTGAAATGCGACCACCGCATCCGGCATTCGATATCACGGGCTTCGCCTCAGCAGTCGAGCAATATAACCCCTAGACCACAGTGGAGGTGGCTGTACTGTGTACGAAACTCTACTCTGTACTCTTCCGAGAAAAAATTATATAGCGATATAACGTTATTCAATGCATTCACGAAGTTGCAAACGGCGATGCAAATCTACGTGAAGCCAAGGGGCAGTAAATTTCAAACAGCAATAAAGAACATAGCAGCGGTGATTTTTCGTGTGTTTGTTTCATACCCGCGGAGGGGGATAATTATTGTGGTCATCGTTATTACAATAATAAATAATTGTTTTATTGCGATAGCAATTATATGGACACACTCGGCTGGTTAATGCCGCTGACGTCACCGTCATACACCGTATATGTATAAGTATCTATAAATATTAAAACACAAGAAAGACAAAAAATAATCCAGAAAAAAAAAGGCTCCAGCGCGGAACCGAACATCCGACCTCTCAATTGCGAGTGCGAGGCGTTAGTTGCT